CCAGGCCACCTGGGTGAAAACCAGGAATCCTATCCACTAGAACAGATGGGACTGCTTGTGTTGGCCACTTACTTGGACATTCAGCTGTTGCTAGAGCCACCAGTTTGGTCACTGCATTGGTTGTCACAGTGACATCAACACTGCCCAGTCGCGGGTACTTTTTGCACAATTCTGACCAACATCCTGAATATTGCTGTCACTACTTAGACAAAGCAGAGAGCAGAAGGTGTTTAGTTGTGCAGTTTTTCAAGCTTCTTCCTCTGTATAACCTGAGAATCTCTGAGTGACCTCTGCACAGGTACTAGCTGCAGTATTCTCCTGAATCGTGCAGCGACTCAGACAATACCTCACATCAGAGCTGGTATAGCAGGAGAAGAAGTCAAAACTGGAGGTAAAAGAAATGGCTTAGTCTTTTGAAAACTGTTGCAACAGTATAAACTGTGAATCTCTGAGCTTTGGTATTGTCATTAAAGTGGCAGTAAACACATTTTCAAACTAGCAACAGCAGGTTATGAAAGTGCATAATTAGCAGTGGCAACACCATCATTCATCAGGTGGGAGGTGCAACAGGGCCATTATTAGATAAAGCTGCTCCTTACTTCCTCTTCCTGAAATGTCTGTCCTTATATGCAAGTTGCTGTACGTGGAGTCAAACCCAGGCCACCTGGGTGAAAACCAGGAAACCTGACCACTAGACAATGAAGTGATCAGATCAGGTTCAGTTGCTGCGAAAGGACATCATCACCTCCTTATCACCAGTCACACCAAAGGAGAGGGTGGGGTGCTTGCTGCACTCTACTGATCAGCATCCTGAACAATAGGTGTCGCCACTCAAAGCAGAGAGAAGAAGCTGTTTAGTTTTGCAGCTTTGCAAGCATCTAAAGCATTGTCCTCTCTAACGTGGGAAACTTTGAGCTCCTGCACATTGAAATGGTGGTAAAAACTGACAGAATTGCACATTTGTGCCTCAATCAAGGATACAAAAATTAGAAAATGCATGACCAGCCGAAACCCAAAGACTACACCAACAGCTCTGACTGTAAGGGCCTATAAGAACCAAGCAGCAACCTCCAAGGAAATCCCTTACATGTTAGGAATACCCAAAATTAGAGCATTAAAAGGGATGTTTACCATCTGGTACATAAATCACTGTTGGCATCTTCATATCAGCCCTGTAGGCGTGACGTTTGTATAAGTCTGCCTGCATACACAATAAGAGAAAAGTAAACCACTACATGAAAACAGGGCTGTTATATACACTGGGAGAACATGCAAACTCAGAAACCTAGCTGAGGCAAGGCTACACCACCACCCTAATTAACACGTTACACACTAGAAGACAACCATTGCATTCCTAATGGAAACAGACCGTGTGTAGGGCAGCAGTTACATCATCTAATCAGGACGCCCTCTGATTTATTCAGATCAATGTGGTGTACCTGAAGGATTTGCAGCACCCAGGAATACCCTCCAACCAAATAATGTGCACAACCTGGATTTTAAATCACCTGTTCACGTTTTGTACCCAGCCACACACACACCAAGGACTCCTGGCACACGCACATGCGCGCTCACACATCGTGCATACAAGCGAGTGTCCACGGTTACAGACAGACCCCTTCATTATCATCATCATCATCATCATTACCGTGACTCAATAAATTTGGGAGAAGAGAGAATAACCTAAAAGGGACTTACATAACAAACACACAGCCGTGCAGCACTGATGGCACGCCACACACACACACACACACACACACACACACACACACACACACACACACTCACCCATATTTCATCGCCCCAAACCACACGATGCCATTTTCACGACATCACCGCCAATTTTCCATTTTTTCACAGCATTTAAGCGAAACTAATGTTTTTTCATTCATTTACTGGAAGGAAAAACGTTGAGTTAATTCATTCACATTTTAATTTAGACGCAGAAACACGTCACTGATTTGCAAAAATGTAACAAAATATAGAAAATCTGCCAAATTTGCCTAATTTTCGTTTACAGAGACTGATTCATGTTCGTTATAACCATGCCGTTACCAATGTAAATGGCATAAAGAGGGATTTTAACGCCTCTAATTATGATATAGGTGATAAAATCTACCGATTGGTCAATAGCTCTACAGCCTGACGTCCTCTCATTTGTGGGATTTTCTGCCTTCTTACCCGGTTCGCAGATTCCGTGATCCTACTCAGCAGGAGCCTGCCTCCGATGCCCAGCACTGGCCGAGTGCGCGAGGACAGCTGGCACAACGCGAGCAGCAGACGCTTCTTCGGCGACCGTCCGGCAGCAGCCAATCAGGGGCCGTTCGAATGAGAGAAACCGGGAAACCGACCAATGGGAGGGGAGTTTAGTCTGTGGAAGGCGTTTCCTCTTCCTCTTTGGAAAGGGCGTGTCTTCTGCTGCTGTAGTCGTGATACCTTCACTAACGGTCAGAAATGTAAAATTAGCATCCGATTTTATTTTATAAAATAAAATAATTTGAGCGAAACATTGACTATTATTACTATCTTAGGCCACTTTAGTTGCAACATGAGTTTAAATTTGCTTTCGTTGATTATATTTCTGAAATGTTGATTATATATTAACAAAATAATAGCAGAAATACATTTTATTTTTGATTTATTTATCTTCTGCTGCTTAATCTTTAGACATGATCTCTGAAAAGATAAACCCTGCCCCACACGGGCTCTTTGTGTGATTGTTGCTTTTGACCCAGTGCACTCGAACGGGGCAGTTACAGCGTTGAGAGGTTACTTTGAGCACTTGAATGCAACAATATGGAGCTGAAGTGCCACAGTGTGGAGACAGGGATGCCCTCTTTGGCAGCTTGGCTGGCTGCAGCCGCTGTGGTGGGAATTCAGAAGAATTAATTAACAGCAGTCGAACCACAAGCCTGTGACCTGCACATATATACTGAATACACCTGCAATATCAACCTGCAGGAAACGAACAGCTGATTCACAGGTCAGGCATTCACAAGTCTTTCCAAAGCACAAAATTATGTCCAAATTGGCTCATGTGATAATTAATAGTGAACTTTAATACCTCATAGTATTCATGTAAGTGATATCTGTACTTTAATGATCATTGGGGCTCTAGTTTGGGAGAAACAACTCCCCCCCCCAAAAGAAAAAAAGAAACAAACAAACAAAAAAAACCCCAACACAGAACAAAAATACTTGTGGTTCACGAGACCTTTCCAGTCAATAATGTGTGTTATTTATATTTCATTAAGCTCTTTGCTGTTATTTATTTATGGGCATTTTTGGTTGTTGTCATTATAACAAAACTGTAAATAATAGCCAGCGTCAGTTGTGCAGATAGATGTGAAGAAAAATAGTAAATGGCTCCAGATCAATAGATTTCCCACTAATCTGTTCATAACATTTGAAGTAATCGTTCACTTTATTGAAACTAGAGAGCCATTTCTATTTTTACATAGATTTTTATATGATTTACATATAGTATTCTATTAGATTTTATTTTACCTCACTGTTATGCAGTGAGGGGCGGTGAGGGAAACATCAGACTTCACTCTATCTTAATTAGAGTAATTGTTTTATTATCTCTTGCCAACATCATACACATGCAGACAGCAACTTTTCAAAATGGCTCCCAATCCATTTCCTGCTCCCTTTAAATACTCTAAAGACACACCTTCTTAATACAGACTGGCCTATAAAAGAGCTGCAATTGAGGCAGGCTTCTGCTTTACTGGGAAAACAAGATGGCCACCACAAAGGTAACCTGCAACACTTTGTTACTTAAATGCTTCCCAACACTCACTTTTTAGATTCAACTGAGTTACTTTCCCTTTTATCTTTTGTTGGTCTAATTTGTTTTGAGCTTTTCTCTTTGAGCTACTTTGTTGTAGGTTATGTTTATCATTCTGGAGGAGCTGGAGTACTTGCAGATTCTTCACTTTCAGACCCAAAACGGGGAAAATATTTTATAATTTCACAAACCTTTTGGCTGTGGACCAGTGTGATTAATTTGCAGACTCATTCTTGATGGTTTCCTCTCCAACATGTGATGAGAAAAATGTGGTCAGCAGTTTTGGTTTGATTCGATGTGGAAAACTGACATCAGAGAAGTAAAATAAGCTGCTAGACCAGGGGTGTCAAACGTAGGCCCCGGTGACCAGAATCGGCCAAGCAATCGAGCCCACTGGACAGCTTTGGAAAATGTAATTGTCATTTATGCTACACCAAAGTAAACAAGATAAACAACAGAAAGTTCCTGTTTTTTCATTATCTGCTATAGAAATGTATGTTTGTTTGTTTGTTGTGTGGTTTCACAGAACAAAGCACATTTTCTGTGAATTAATGAAAACTTTATATTTTATAATTACAGGGCAGTTTTGGCCATGAAAATCCAGAACATATTCTGTAGTTTTACATCTAGATTTTTAAGACGTAGCACCCCCCAATGCCACATAGGTAGACACACTAAGCAGACAGTCACAATAAACAGTTCTTGTTTATTCACGGTTCATTTCTTACACTGTTCAAGTACAAAGTTAAAATGCCTTTTTAATTAGTTCATATTCATACAAGAGTAAAATAATAATAGTGCCTTTCTTCACTACCGCAAACATAAATACAGTAAATGTAAAGACAAACTTGATTTATACTCCTAACAATAAATTTTTCTTGTTTTCAGATAAAATTTTAGCACCTTTTGAAACACCAACAGGTCCTCCTTTTCCTAAAAGCTCATCTTACATTTAGTCCATGAGATGAGTGTCTGCATGCGCCACAGCATTGTATTTGTAGGTGTTGTGCATGTATCTCTGCGTGTGAGCGTCGGTTGCTCTGTGTCATAGCAGTGTGTGTTTGTCTGTGTATGTATGTGTGTGTTTGAAAGTGTATCAGTGTTTAAAACAGCGCATCACTCAGCCTAAAAGCTGTCGATAGGCGAACAGAAACATCATCACCGTATCACCCATCACTTAAAAACGTCAGCTCCTTTCCTCACACTTTTCCCCCCCATGGACCTCTCACACAGAGACGTGTTGGAGAAAAGGAAAATAAACAGCTGGAAACTGTAAACAGGCTGAAAATCGTCATGCCTGTGCTGAACCAGCAGCCTCCAGAGCAAATATAACAAACGCCGGTGAGCCCCAAGACTTAAACCGCTGGCAGCTGCAGTGAGTGATCACGCTTTTAATGCGATGCTCTGCTGAGAAATTTGGATCCTGGCGTACAGTCAGGTGTCACTTTGTCACAAAACGCCCACCAAGCAATGGCTTACATGTCAAGCTCACACATTTTATGGCAAGGGCACTCCCCAATGGCAGTGGTCTCCCTCAGCACACCACAAATATGGCTCGAGGAACGCAACAACAAGCCTGATGTTTGGATGTGGCCTCTAAACTTCCCAGATTGAGGGGGGCCTATACAATATTAGGCAGGTACTTTAATCTTATTGCTACTTTGGCGTGTATATACATCTAGGTATAAATATCCCCATCTAAAAGTTGTGAAGTTATTTAACTGTTTAACAGCTTCTGAAGAAGCTCAGATTTCCGGTTGACCAAAACTTTAGGAACTAAGTTATTAAATTTGATTTAAATGTTTTGGCATGGATCAGATCTGCACACGGCCTTAAATAAATCTGAAATGATAAAATTCTGTGAAGCTCATGTATTTTATTAATACGTTTCTTAAGTCTCAGGACCTCCAGACTGGGAACCGCCTTGTGCCAGTGGAAATTCAGCTTTTACAGACAGCTTTAACTCAACCCGTCTCTGTTTGAGAGCATCGCGTGGCTCATAGCTTCAACGATTTAAAATAGAACAAGTCACTATACTAACTGTAATATATGCTTTCTCTAGCCTCTCTCTCTCCACTCTAGGCTGAGACTGAACTGAACTGAGCACCAACCTGGAACAGTACACACACACAATAACAGATTATTACCGTAATTATTATTACCATATTATTATTATCGTTACTCCCTAATCTAACATGGAATCGGAGATTACACTGACTGACTGACATGCAGCACCTGGGGAGGGGCGGGGCAGGGCAGGGCGAGGTGGGGTTATTGGAGTGAGGGAGAGATTAGGGTAAGGGTGGGCAGGATTTGGGAGCACCAAGCGTCGTGGGCCATGATGATGTCACAGCCAGCAGCGCTGCGGAAAGCCTGATGGCGGACAGGCGGCCGGCAAGAACACAGTGTGTATGTATGTGTGAGTGTAGCGGTGTTGGGTGTTCTGTAGCGAAAGGAGAAGCGTGAAGGTTGTTTCCAGCAAATGAGAGTGTGAGTGTGTGTGAGACCTGCAGGAAGAGCACTGTAAAAAAGAGCAGAGTTTAAAAAGCACCTGAAGGTTGGTTGTAGAAACGGAGAGTAAACACGATGGAACAAAATCTTTGAACCTGCTGGCTTACTGTGGCTATGAGAGGTTGTGCATGTTTGTGTGAAGGTCTGTGTGTGTGTTTGTGTGTGTGAGACGGCATAGACTGCATGTGTCCAGTTGTTAGCTGGTATCTGAGGAAGGTCTGAGGATCGGAAGGCTTCCTGGAAAAGATGGTCGTCCGAGGACCAAAAGCACCAGACTGAAGTGTTTTCTCTAAAGGCAGCCCTGTCTAAATAAAACATACATATGAACTTGTTTCTCATAGTGTGTGTGTGTGTGTGTGTGTGTGTAATAAATACAGCCACCACACTGGATGACATTTCCTCTTCACAGAGCAGCTGAGTTCATCCCAGCATGCATTGGGTGAAAGGCAGATGAAACACCCAAGAAGGCTCACACAGCTGAACCTGTGTTACATAAGGAAGCTTCTTTTTATTTATACAGGGCTATCTGTTTCAGTCACAGGAAGTAGAAAGCCAGCATATTGTCCACAGAGTAAAGTCGGCCTCTGCTTTCAGCCGACGCAGAACGGTGACTGTAGGACGTTTTGGATCCCTGTGAAGCACAGGGGGAGAACGAGTGCCAGGGGGATGGCAGACTAGTCACTTAACTGACAGTGGAGCTGAGGCACAGAAAGAAGCTGCATTGTAAGAGGAGGGAGCGTAAAATGCTGCTGAGAAGAGGATGCTGAATGTCTTCTACTTCTAACCACCAATGTTTTAGGTTAATGCTTCTCGGAGGCGATGGTGCTCTGCAGGCAGAAATAATCCTGCAGAATGAGTTTAACCTCATTCTGTAAAAAACAGAAGTGCCTTAAACCTGGATTTTTTTTTTTTTTTTGAATGACCAGCAGGGGGCAATGCAAGAAAAGACTACTGGTTATTTTAAGTTGATGGATAAAATCCTGTCCTTTATATTCCCTATGGTTGGAGTTGGAGATTGAAAGCACATAAACAGAGACACAGACATCCTGAACTGAGATCCTGGGAATTTTGCTATGTTGATAGAAGTTTAACTTCCAGGGGAAAAATACCTTCTTTCTTTTTCTTATTTCTGTTTCTTATGTCCCAGTGACCTTTGAAATTAAAGCTAATTTAGATAGTATTTCAAAACTGTCCAAATAAATGCCTCGAGGGGCTTTCTCTTTAAAGGTGCTTTTTGCAGCTGTTTGCAGCTTTTAACTAAATCCTTCACCATCAGGGGGCAGTGTTTTCCATGTGGCTCTGTTGATATGGTTTTACCCTCTGATATTTGCTTTTATTCCTCAAGAGGCCTTTCATTCATTTACTCCTTTCATTTGCCAGACTGCCAGCCTAAGTAATAATACATAAACCTGATGTGCTATCTTGTGGTACAAAGTGGTATTACATGGTCCTACTTCACCAACGGCTGATTTCTCTCTAACATATTTAAGGAATTGCCAAAATCAGCTGATCTAGACCTTCTTCTGCTAAGTTGATGTGAATTTAAAGAAAAAAAAGTTTGATTAAAACTGTTCACTTCTATTTTGAGGTGAGATTTTCATATGAAACTCGGAATACTGTTAGTATACATTTGAGTTCACTGTACATATAAAAAATAAAATATGAATAGAATGAAACAAAAGCTAAATCCAGTTTCTACTTTGGTATCTTGGCAGTATTTGGATCTTATGTTCAAATGCCAGTTCAAAAACAGACAACAAAAGCATTGGAGTTAGTGCAGTTAGTACACATTTGGAGGACACTGTGCCACGTCCTAAACAATAAATATATTTGCATTTCATGATCTCAAATCCACTCAAACACTAAATTATTTTGCACATTACTTAATGTTTGGAATTTATGATGCTGGAGAGTTGTTAGCATAACATTTTACAGAAATTTCCCATTATCCCTAAATAATACCTTGAAGAAATAGAGGAAGTCAAAAGATAATCAAGTTAAATTTGAGATTACTTGAATTTAACTTCAAATCTATCAACCTAACATCCAATGAACGTCGTCTTCTGCCTTCAATAATGTTAACGAGGCAAACTTTGGTATAATATGATGACATCTACTTGTTCCTGATGATCATCAGCTGAGTGACATCAGAGTAATATTACATTGAAAATGAGCACCAAAGTCATTTAACAGTTGTCATCCCAGCGTAAGTGAAACACGAGGAAATATTTTCATTATTAAAAGCATTCGTGAACCTAGTGTCTGAAAACCACCAGGAAGTAATCAGTACAGTACACAGATGGTTTGCTTGTTGTGAGGAAAGTAGAAGTAGCTTGTGTTTTATATACGGTGTATAGAGTACATTTGCAGTATGAAGTATGGTTGTCTCCCACTAGAGGGCACTCTAAACACTGAGGATGCAGACAGCAGCAAGGATGTTTCTACTGTACTAGTTTTGAATTTCATAACTTTTGTTTACATTCAGAAGGTTTTTTGCTTTTATATATGTCAGCATTTTGATCTTACAATAAGGCTGTTAAAGTTAACTGAAACTAAACCACAAATTAGTTCACTGAAATAAAACGAAAACTAACCAAAACACTTACAAAACTATATAAAATATTAAACTATACAGCAACTGTCTTCGGTTTTAGTCAATTTGTCAACCAGGTTGAGGACACCAGGATGTCTTCATCTCTGTGTTTGTTTTGTTGTATTGTATTATTCCATCATGATAAAAACTACCATACATTTCATAATAAGGAGAAGTAAAACTAACACTGAAACTAAAGTGATAATAGTAAGTCCACCCTGGAGACACAAGAAACTACTGAAAAATACAAAAATCAAACATTAACAAGTAAAATAAACTCCTCAAACCACAGCTGCATCCCAATAAAATTCTGTTTTATTTTATTATTTCATATTGCTTTAGATAAAAGTGGATCTCTTTTTCTTTCTTTTCTTTGCACTGAGGTATAAATTCACCTGCAAGGATTATTTGTAGCACAAGAGCATCCTCCTCCTTTAAGAAACATTTAAAGGTTATAGTCTTATTAAGCTGTAGTCACACTAAGAAAAACGATCTATATATTAATCTGAGCTGGTCCCAAAAAGTTGATTCTGTTCATCTGGACGTAGCATTTTCAGTGACTTCCTCAGTCTCACCTGACTGCAGGTTTCCCCAACCTTATAAACAGTACCTTTGCATAATGACTAAAACTAGCACCAGTGAGTAACAATGGACTGTGAGGTCAGTTTCATGATCATAAACATGCAAATTGCCATACCATTCACAGAGAGTTGGGGAATGACTGCAATCACAGCATGAAAGTGAAAAGATGAACTCTTAGGCGTCCTCCTCAATTCAGAGATGCCATCCGCTTAGCCAGAGGTTGTTTGATTTCCCCAATGTATGAATCATGGCAATCCTTCTGGCACTTAACAGGGTGAACTATATTACTCTGTTTGTGCTGGGGGACCTGATCCTTTGGGGGGAGCAATTTTTGGCGCTGGGTGTTTTAGGGTTTGAAAGCTACCGAGACGTGGTGTTTACAGAAAATACGTCTCAGCTGTTCTATTACTCCTGAAAAAAAATGATCAACAAACATTTTTGCTTAGGTAGCAGTTGTCCTTCTTTCCAGGATTGCCTGGAGCTTCCTTTAGGTGTCTTCCCAGCTTTACTGAAGCCTTTGTGGTACAATGTTCATCCACTTCCGCTGTTCACTCGAGCGAAACGTTCCTCCCATTGAAAGCGCTATGTCCAGAATCAACTTTTTGGGATTTCCTTACCTGGAGCATGCATCAAGAAATCTAAGCTGCGTTATCTTCCTTTTGGACACTCTCCTGCACCCTCATTCAATCCTTAAACCTCACAGCTACCTGTTTTGCCTGCTGTTGCCTCCACCTGTTCGTCTATTTGAACTCAAAACTGCAGCGACTGAAACAAGCAGAGACCATTCAGTCTCCAAGAGCACCAAAATCTGTAAAAGTGTTGTATTAAAGTGGCACCATTTCGATTGTATCACTGCCTGACCAGCACCACAAATGTTACGTGTGTTTGTGTGTCTTTCTGTTTTCACAACACATGAATACAGTAAAGTGTTGCGGGACTCATTGGTCTGTTTGTATGTATTCATAGAGATCTTAAAGACAGAAAAAAGGCAGGGCATCTGTGTTAGTTTGGCGCCCCCTGGAGGTTTGAACTCCAGCTGATACGACACAGTAAAGCCAGAAGACATCAGTTTCAAGGTCGGACAGGAAGTTTGTGTATGACAGAAAACTGTACCCGTGTGTGTGTGTGTGTGTGTGTGTGTGTGTGTGTGTGTGTGTGTGTGTGTGTGTGTGTGTGTGTGTGTGGTAGCACGGTAGCACCAGGGGACTAAGGTCAGCCAGTGGTCTACAAGGGATCTCAGGAAGCAGTCCTTTACAGAGTGTGTATGTGAGTGTTTGTGTGTCTATGTCCGGTCATCTGTTTCATTTTGCGTCAGCCAACCTTCATGTACTGACTGTACACTGTGTATGGTTATCAGTGTCTGTTTCTGTTTATATGTGTGTGTCTGTACGTGGGAGGGAGTTGGTGTGTGTGACTAGTTGCAGGCAAAATACTCCTTCAGAGGAGCAAAAAGGTGCCTGATGACAGGGACGCTCCACGAACGCCCCAGAAGCCTTTGTCTGGCCAGACGACTCATGTTGGACACGTCGGTGTAGTGGACGGGGAAACCAAACACCCTGAAACAGACCACACAGATCATTACTTCAGACTTTAAATAGAAAAAGGTCTGTGAAGCAAAGCCAAGAAATATTTCAAATCACTTAGGATCCTAAACTTAAAAGAAGATTCTTTTTTTCATTTGAATTTGTTATATTTGTTAGTTTTTGTCTTTCAAAGATTCAAAAAGTTTATTGTCATGAGGACAAAGAAAAGCATTTCTCTGTGCAATGAAATTCTTTCTCTGCTGTCCACACACAGATGCTGGTTAATATGTGCAAATAAAATTGGAACAGATAAAATGCAAATAGTATAAATAAATAAATGGAGACAAAAACTGAAGTGTTAAATAGATTGGTGTGCAAAAGAGCTTTGAGCTTAATGCTGGTTTAATATGTAAGATGACCTGATGTGCAAAATTATTACTGTTAAAATAGTTCAGCTGTTCAAGAGTCTGACAGCAGTGGGGAAGAAGGAGTTGTTGAGTCGGGATGTTCTGGATTTCACACTTCTAAACCTTCGTCCCGATGGCAGAAGTGTGAACAGTCCGTGTTGGGGGTGTGTGGGGTCTTTGAGGATGGAGGCAGCTCTCCTCTGGACTCTGTGATGGTAGATGCTCTGCAGAGAGGGCAGCAGAGTCCTGATGATCTTCTCTGCAGTTGTTATTACTTTCTGCAGGCGTTTGCTGCAGTGATGCAGCTGGTCAGCGTGCTCTCCACAATGCAGCTGTAGAACTTGCTGAGGATCGTGGCCGACATACCAAATTTCTTCAGCCTCCTCAGGAAATACAGCTGCTGCTGCGCCTTCTTGACCACCTGTTGGTGTTCAGTGTCCAGGTGAGGTCCTCAGAGATGTAGACGCCCAGGTATCTAAAGCTGCTCACCCTCTCCACTTCAAGGCCCCGGATAAACTACGGCTGGTGATGCCTCCTCTTCTTCCTTGGATTGCAACTGGTCTATAGTCATTTTGGCAGGTGGTTTGGCTTTTCTTGGGAAGAGGGATGATGGTTGTGGTCTTGACTAAGGTCAGCCAGTGGTCTAAAAGGGATCTCAGGAAGTAGTCCTTTACAGTGTGTGTATGTGAGTGTTTATGTGTCTTAAATGTTTGCTTTTCATTTGCTTTGATTATTTTAATGTTTTACTTCTTGCTTTTGTTTCTTTCCCTCCATTGAAACGCGGTCAAATTATTCATTTACCTTGAATTTGACTGCTTCCACCTGTGTCTCATTTAGTAATCACCCCTCTTTTTATATGAACCCCACTTCTCATTTTACAATTTACATATATTGAAATTCTCAAATATTAGTCCCTCATTACCAAATAGTAAAACAGAGACACAATTTCATTTCATGAAATGGGAAATCTTGTTAGTTAAACATGTGGCACAACTACATCATAAGTTTTTAGCCCAATTAATCTCATATTGAGCTTTGTATTGTAAGACAAAGATGCTACAATAAGAGAAAGAAAACCCCACCAATCAAATGACTTCCTATAAGCAAGCACTTGGCAACAGTGGGAAGGAAAAACTCCCTTTTAACAGGAAGAAACCTTTAGCAGAACTAAGCTCAGGGAGGGCCGGCCATTTGATGCGACCATTTGAGGGTGAGGCGAGACACGTACATGATCTCAGGTCTAACATGCTTCAATTACAATCTCAACCCTACTATGTCACCATGTGACCATTTGACAGGATATAGCTTCTTTTAATAATTCAAACAAGTTCACTTTCATGCAAGAACATGCTTAAAACAATTAACCTCTTAACATCCACCTGTACAGGTATGTATATATGGATTTTTCATTTTTTAAGGTAAGCCTAAATGTAAATACAGAAGACCCATATGGTCAAAATGAAATCTAACCGTTACCCTTAGAGGTCTGCAGTCACCTGCTGGATGTTAAGAGGTAATAAAAAAACCACACACACACACACAAACACGTGGCTCCTGTACCTTTCCATCTCGGTGCACCACAGTATGTCCTCCTTGTTGTCCATGTAGACGGGGAAATGCTCGTCTTTCCCCTGCTTCACAGAGTTGGAGCGTGTCGTTATCGTACGCAACTTCTCAAACTGGAATTAGCATCCAGAACCAAACACGCACAGACAGACACAAACAAACAAACCAACACACGCATCCCTTTTAATCCTACAGCCTACTCTCATTTTCAACAGCAGCTTTCTGTGATTCAGACACACAAATACACACTCTCTCACACAAACACACACACATACACACAAGTGGATACCTTGGCTGTGCGGCCATGCTCCAGGCACTCCTGTAGGTCCAGCTTGTCGTTTGCCATCGGTGTCAGTGGCCTGCAGTATTTAGAAAAGCACAACCTAAAGAAGAGTTGCATTTTCAATTCAGTAAGGAAAACTCGTAATCACCCTGCAGCTGACTTTCCCAGGTGTCCGGCTGCTGTCTGTTCTTTAATTGGTTTTGTTTTCTTATGCTTTCAAACTCAATACTGACATTATTGCTCTAATCCAATCATCTTCTTGTACACCTTCTCCAAGTCAATCACCCTTCACACTGCACTTCTGTCTTTTTGCCTCTCAGATGCACATTAGTGCAACCCACCTCCTCCCCATCTCCGCCTCATCCTGGTGACTCAGAGCTCCATGCAAGCCTCCATCTTCACCACCACCAGTGTCTAGACTCTGGGGGGTCCTGTCCTCTAATTCCTGCTACTACTGAGATTTTGTTCTGCTACGATGGGTCATCGGAGACTAATCGCCAGACAACTGTATTGAATTCTGTATCTCAATAAATCATGTTCAGTTCTTCCAAATGATCTCTCCTTACTGAAATAAAGTGAACAAACCTGTGGTGTTTGTGTGTTTGTATCACCTGGACATGCCGGGCAGGTTTCCCCAGAAATAGCGAGCGCGGTGGGCAGCAGAAACTTCCTTGGCGTCGATCATCACTGGGTTGCACTGAAGAGGAATATGAATGTTATGTCATACTGCACCACGGCCCTGAAGACTTACTTTTGACCTAACTAATGGATGGATGGATAAATGGATCCTAACAACCTTCTGTACCACAACTGAGAATGTCCTGTGGGGATGTAGTTGGGGGGCTTTTTTTAAATTTCACTTACAGAATAACTGCTGTGGGTTTGTTTGCCGTACCTCTAGAAAGCGGGAGATGTCCCGTTTGTCGCTGACTCCCATAGCGACCACGTTCTCAAACAGCCAGAAGAACGGCCTCTCGTCGCCGGGTTTTGGCCGCGCCTCATGCAGCAGACGGTAAAACTCAAAAAACAACCGGCCGGTCCCCTCTGAAGGAAGACAGGGAAAGTTCAGCCTCCTTATTTCATTTAGCACAACGAGCAGCAAGTAAATGATTATACGAGCGCTTCCTACCATAAAGTCCTTTCCTTGCAGGGTTGACTATGGAAAGGTCGTTGCAGGGGCTTCCTCCTATCACCAGGTCAAATGGTCCCCATTTATCGATCTGCCGGTGGAAACACAGCACGTTAAAGATTACTGCCTTTAACATAATGTGAGGAAATTTTTCTGGTTACGTTGTGGTTTTGAGGAGCAATAATGATTTCTCTTACATGTTTGCGAGTTACGGTGCGTACGTCTCCCACGTACATGATGCGTCCCTCGTGTCGAACCATGCCGACAGTGATGGAGTCTTCACACACCTCTGATGCAACATACTTTTCGACCTGGATGCCCAAATCTTTCAGCACCAGAAGACCTGACAGACACACAAACATCATGCTAAAAACTCTTTAAGGGTTTAGGTTTTAAGATGGCGTGGCCACGTCCAGACGCCTTCCTGACTGCTCCGCGCAGATTATGCACCTTTTTAGTTGTTTACTTATTTATTGCTTTGTTACCTAATGCATGACTACTGCCTTACAACTGAGGACTTTCAACTCAGGACTTTCCATAAAGGCGCTCACACAGAACATTGCATCCTGGTATGGGAAGAGCTTTGTTAAGGACCAAAAAGGTCTTCACAGAGTGATCCGTACAGCAGAACGCTGCTGCAGGGCTGCTCTCGCCTCCCTTCAGGACATCTACAACAGGAGATGCTGGTACAGAGCAGCTCAGATATTGAAGGACCCGTCCCATCCCAGCAACAAACTGTTCCGACTTCTGCAATCAGGCAGAAGGCTCCGCGCCATTCGAGCAAAAACAGAGAGGCTCAAGAGAAGCGAGTGACACAGGAGTCATTGTTACCACATTCGCATATCATTCCTGATCCTTCTGGCTTCACAGCACAAGACACTTTAACGCCCCACTCACACAATGTACGTTCTCAGATTTATTTATTTTATTTATTTATATAATGTATATAACTCACTCACTCACTTACTGCATGCACATAATGTCCTCTTTGTATATATTCACTCACTGTATATAATGTTCTCTCTCTTTGCACAGTCGAGGAGCGTATCAGGTCACATTTCACTGCGTCTTGTACTTGTATAACTATGCACGTGAAAAATAAACAATCTTGAATCTTATTATAAATGTTTATCTTTTAAAATAGATATAAATCCTTGTTGTGGGGATAGGTTAATTGATTAATCCAAATTGCCACTAGGTGTGAATGTGAGTGTGAATGGTTGTCTGTCCCTGTGTGTTAGCCCTGCGACAGACTGGCGACCTGTCCAGGGTGTATCCCGCCTTTCGCCCTATGACAGCTGGGATAGGCTCCAGCGCCCCCCGCGACCCTGAAAAGGATAAGCGGAAGCGAATGGATGGATGAATATAAATCCTTCCAAAATACTCAAAGCTTCTAACAGAATGTGGTGAAACAACATTTATAACATACAGCATTTATAACAAATACCTAAACCCGCACAGTCAGAACGCCAGGCTGAGCCAATACCAGCTGTTCATGTTTGTCGTGTTCATTTTTAACTGCTTTGACAACTTTGGGATGGATGAAGTAAATCTTACTTTGTCTTCACATTTCTGTTTTATACTTCCACTTAACCACTTTTCTCATTTACCATTAAATTCACTTGCTTTATTTTTGTTTTATGTGTATCTGTATTATTTTTTATTTCATTTTCAATGGCAAGCTCTTCAATGAAGAAGAGATTTTAATCTGAGAATATCGTGAGCTGCACCAAACTTTTTTTCTGCGACTTAAACTGCGTGGAATAAGGATGTGACAGGATATCTTTATATTTCTTTTTGTTTCTTATTTAAAGCAACACACCCCGATTATGATGGCACAAGTCGTAAGGATAAAGGATCATATTAACCTGTTAATCAATAATTTATTGATGATGAGAATAGTGGTTAATTGCCGCTCAGCACTTACACACCTGTGGCAATGCCATCGAATAAAGAGAGGACTCTGATTGGTTGCCTCTTCTCTGCTGCAACTGGGGGATACAACTTGGCCGGCTCCTGAGAGAGGGTCAAGAGGAAGAGGAGATCAAATGAGATATCAAACTCTACAGTACGCAAAGGCAGAGAGCTTCTCCTGATAATGATCTGCTCTTTACTAAAGAAAAAAGTCAAGAAGAAGAAGAAGAAGGAGAGAATATCAATAATTAAAGGTGAACATGATCTGTTTTGATGTGCATTAACCTTCGTGGATAATTGAGAGCTGACGAGCCCTGGAGCGTAACCCACACTGATCTCCAGATAATTATGTTTCCAGCTAACTGTAATGATTCACACTTCAAAGTTCTATAAAGGTCATGACAAGAGATAAGATGTAAAGTGGCAGATACATTAAATTTAGCACAATCCATTGACTTACAGCATGCAATGTGAGCTTAAATAAGATGTCTGATATTCACAGGCTGCTGTAAGAAGTAATACAGTACCGAAGAGCAGGATGTTTATTAATACAATATAAAAGCAGCTTAATGAGCCATCTGAATTTGATGTTACCACTTACACAGCGACACTTCGGTGTCATAGCCCCCCCATGCTTCATAACAGCTATTCTCAAACTGCATTTTTAAAAATGGGCTATTGGTAGGGACTGAAAGAATGAAACTTGAGCTACAAACATTTGAAAACGAGTATTATTCTCCAGACTCTGTATTTATGCAGCCTTAATTAGTTTTTCATTAGTATTGTGGTTATGATGGCTAGCGTTGATCCATAAATTGCTGTTGAACTGCAGGTTAATGAATCCTGACAGGAATTCTGAGGCACCCCCTCTACCCCTTAGCCTGCAGGAGGCTTTAATGTGCTTTACCTGGTAATGATCTGGGCGGATGGTAATGAGGTGAGACACCTGTAAATGTTTAAACATCTGTTAACTGGCGGGAATCACAGACGCCCTCTTCGTGTTGTTGTTTGGATATGGGAACAGATTTATTGCTCGTCTATAAATGTGGGCTCGAGCTCGCAGCCTCTCTCTTCCACTGGGTCATTCGGTTCGCTGGAACTTTGGTTGCTTTATTTATTGTTTTACTTGCTCGTGGCTTATAACTGATGAACTCGCTGCATTAGTTATGTGTGGTAATTCTTTCCTACCTGTTGATCCTCGGTCGTGATGTGGCTAATTATTAAACTTGCAAATTGTAAACACAGCACATAAGAAGGTATATCTACAGTCATATTATCTACAAGTAAAGTAAAGTGAAAGTAAGAAAATATGTCTGCTTTTGGTTTCTCACACTGGCATGTGTAAATATCTGGGAATCCCCTTACTTCTGAAACAATCAGGACTTCATTAACGTGTTAGATGTTATGATGGAGGTCTTTAATCTTCATTAAGACTTTCACAGTTGATAAATTCTCTGGTCCTTCAGCCTTCATGGTAACGCAGAACAAAAGCAAGATAGCAAAGTGCTTCCTGCCTGGTGTTTCCACCCTTTGACAGATGGCAGTTAAAGGGAACTTTGACACTCGAGATCTGGAAGAAACTATAGGCATTGCATATGAATGGCGTATCATGTGATATGATATGACATCATATGAAGAGCAGCATCTGGACAGGATAGAGCTGATTTGGAGGAAAATTTTTGGACTTGAAGCTGTGTAGCACCAAGTGTCAGGAATTCTCGAAACAGATGTCTGGCAGCCGGTCAGTAAAGTGAAACAGAAATAAATCTGGCTTCTACAACAGGTCTGTGATCCAAAGCAGATTTGAGAATCTGCAGCGAGCTACAAGAAGCACGAGCATCTCCTAACTGTTCCACACTTTTATTTTAAAAAAAGAGGCAATCATGCTTTTGAGGTTGTAGCTACCAAATGTTAGAACAGCCTTCCTCGGCCTATCAGGTCAGCCAAATCACTGGTTTGTTTTAAACAATCACTAAAAGCTAAGTTCTCTAGGTTAGCTTTTGCTTAATCTTTCACCCATTATTTTTGGCCTTTTGTTCTTCTGATATGTCTCTATAGGAGTGTGTGTGCAGGAGTGAAAGACCCATGTGTTTGACTGTCTGTATGCATGTGTTATATCTATATGGATCTCTCTTCATTCATCAAATATGGCGCCACTTTTTTCTAGAAGGACTCTCCTACATTATGAAAACAGTGTTAAAAACAGATCTGGACAAACTTTTTTGCTCTTTAACAATCCACACAAATCAATTACAAGATGTGATAATAAAAGATTACTAATTTATCACCTCTGACACTCTTAACAACCAACAAGGCAATTCAAGCCCAACGAGTAAGGGAAATTGTTTTGTAGGAAGAGAGCATTCAAACTTACAAATTCCTGCTCGTGGTTGTTGGCAAAGAAATGCTGTAGTCTGCAGGGCCAGTCATCCCGCCGTCGCAGTAGGCCGTAGGTGTTGCGGGGTCCACACATGTAGCAGTTCCAGGGGTCTTCTTTGATGGCTGCCGCTGCTGAGCCAGCCCCGACCAGGAGATCCACGCACTCCACACAAAAACACCTAAACGCACACACAGCAATTCATCATGTCTCATGTCTATTTACCCACTCACTAATATGTCTTTGTCAAGTAACAAATAAAGTTCAGCCTTTGAACAGTGCAAGTCTCAGAGAAATTCCAAAAATAAAAAAGACTCGTAGGCTTCGTCTCGAACTCTACTGACAGTGCAATTAGAAGAAGACTGAAAAAGTATGACCTGTTCGTAAGGGTTGCTGGGAAAAAGCCTCTTTTCTCTAAAAAGAACATGGCAGCATGGCTTAGGTTTACAAATTAAATCTGGAGAAACAACAGACTTCTGGAACAAAGTCCTTTGGACATTCAAGACCAAAGTGGAGATAACTGGCCATAATGCACAACACTCAATTTAGCATATCAGCATAAACACCCCAAACCTGCTGCAATTACAGCTGCCAGTCTTTTAGGGTATGTCTCTACCAGCTTTGCACATCTAGAGACTGAAATCCTTGCCCATTCTTGCAGCTCTACAACAGAATGGCTGAAACTTCAGTGAACATGAATAACATTGTAACGAACAGTGAACCAAAATTCCTTTACTAGGATATGAGGATCTCATTAAGTCATACAGAAAACAAATACTTCAAGTTGTTGCTACTTAAGGTGAACCTACAAACTACTGAAGGTGTTGAGGTGTACCTGGCTTTTTACAGGACTGCAGAGAGTTCTTTGAAAAAACCACTTTGGACTGAAGCTCATTATTTTCATGTCTGATCTCTGCTCTGTTTGCAGTGAAAGGATTAGAGCCGAGATGCCAAAATCAACTGTGTACTCTCTTTTGAAATAAACAAATCCACATGAGCTTTGTGCCAATAAAGAAAGTGATTTATCACGTTTGGACATTTAGGTGTAAACTGTTTCGGTACATGTGAAATTGAAAACCTTAGCAGGACCTGAATGTGCTGAAAGAAGCTGCTGTTTGCAAACCCCTGATACTGACCTACAGCAGTTGTTGTTGCCACACATGAGCACTTCCCTGCCTCCACAGCAGATGGTGCAGTAGGACTGGTAGCCATCATCGTCATACTGGTAGGCGCACTCCAGGAACGAGTTCTGCCGAGGAGCAAAACACAAGTTTTTTTTTGTTTCTCCTTCTGTTCATTGAGTTTATTTTTACATGCCTGTGAACTACAACAGATTACCAATATGTAACCGATGTTCCAACAATATTGTCACTGCTTCCAAAACAGCTAGCTGCTTGGATTTTTCCCCTGGGGAAATGCAGCTTCCACAAATACTGGGTGAGATATTTGTTGCTGGAAGAAATTTATCATGGAAAAACATTTCTGGTTCCAGCTTCCCAAATGTGAGAATTTGAGACTCTTTGTATTATTTAGTATTGTTCTTAATATCTTTGTGGTCTGGATTGTTTTTTCATTCACTTTTGCATGTTGACAGGCAAAAATACTCAGTTAATAATAATAATAAGAGTGATTAGTTGCAGCCTTGGAGAACTGTACACACAGGAACCTTCATGTTGAACATGCAGAATCTGAGCATAACAGCTGAGATTTGGGGTATTCCGGGGCTGTCTGCGGTCTGTTTATGCTCACATCGTGTGAGTTCTTTTGACCAATCACATGCTACCTGATTACTTGAACTCAGTAGTAAGTTCAGTTTAAAATCACCTGGAAGTGCCAAATATTCATAGTTTGTTTGTTTTATAAGTGTTATATAGAGTTAAAGCATTATGTTTTATATATGAGACCTTTAAAGCTGTAGCTTAACACCTCTGAATAAAGCTCTGCAGTAAAAGCTACAGCAGTGCAATTGTACGTAGCATTATTGGGAAAACTTGTGATGCTGAAAAATGTATGAATATAGTCAAACTAATTTCACAAACTAACTCCTTCATCCACCTATGGGACAGTCAGATTTGACCACACTGAGAAACCTTTCATGTTTAACCTTTCATGACCAACCTGTGCTTTGGCCTCCTCTCACAGTCCAGAGACATGCTTGTTAGGTTAATTGGTGATTCTAAATTGGCTGTACATGGGGGTGCGAACGGTTGTCTGTCTATCTGAGTGCACGGCGCCTGTACAGTTTGGATAGACTACAGCCCCTCTGTGACCTTAGGCTGGATAAGCAATTAAGAAAATAATAAATAATAAATAATAAAAAGAGGGATTCTCACCTTGCAGCCCTGGCACATTGCTCCTACAAACAGAGGATGCTCCAGGGAGACATTGAGGCTTCCACAGGAGATGCAGATATCTGAACAAAAACAGAGAGAAAATACAGACAAACTAAATCTACAGCATTTGTTAGTTTGTTTAAGTGTCTGTTTATATGTACTTTGACATTTTGTAGACAGTAAACACATTAGCTATTTGTCTAAAATGTAGGGACAGTTAAAAGGCCTGAATCAGATAACGAGACAGACTGCTGGAATAAGGTCTCAGCATATCTGCTATGCTACTACAATCTGGGGCCGTATAGGGTTTGTGTGATTAAAATTACTAAATAAAATGAACTCTAAATTTTACAGGAAAGAGCAGAAAAAGTAGGAGTGATATGCAGTCGTTGGCTGGTCCAATTGAAGGCAGGTTATACAGATCTAGTAAAACTGATTTATTTTACTGCTTATGCTTAACAAGCGAAAGCTTAATAATAGTCCTTTATTCTTTTTTATTAGATGAATTTGAGAGACAACTACGAACCAAATGGCGGTTTAAGGAGATAAAGCATTTTTTAAAGGATTGTGTCAATCTTTGTTAATCCTTTATTAATATTTTGTGTCATGTTATTACTCAACTTTGAATCTTCTGGATCCAAGGTTAACCAAAGCTAAGACAAAAGAAATACTAGAAAGAAAATAAAGTATCCCTTCTTTGGTTTAAATATGAATGACGGTTAAACAACTGGAGATGCTTTTACCTTCTATATTCCTGGTCTTCTTTTTGATCTCAAATATAAGTCTCTCTGGAAAACAAAACACAAGTTAGTTCAAATACATATAAACGATAACAACAATACAAGTTTAATAGAAGGTATGATATTATCAGCCTAGTGTGGGTTTAAAAGAAAGCGGAATATTAAACAACAATCTGTGTTTTCATTTTACATGCTAAATGGACAAAATAAAAAGAAAGGTTTTTTTTATTTATTTCAATTTCAATTTTTTTTTTTTGCATTTTTACCTCTGGTCCCTTCGTCGATCACCTCTCTGATCTTTGCTTTTTCTTGCGTGTTTTTGCGTGGTTTCTTTGCAGGTGGAGGTGTGTACGCAGCCTCAGGCTCCCCCCACATCTCTGGGTACACTTCCTTATATGGATTTTGTTCCTCTGTAGAGATAGGGGCATGAAGTTAACACATGGACACATTAAATGAACTAAAGCAGGGCAATGTTTGTACTGAGAGAGATCCATACAGCTTTATGGAGCGTACTTTTGATAACTGATAAATGTTTTTGCTTTCAGCCCCACTTTTCCTGTCAGTAATGACAATTTCTATGGTTTAGATAGAAATTGTTGCAGTAAATATTCTTTTTAGGATACGGGTCTTTTCTACATACAAATAATTTGTAACTTTTCCCAAAGGAAAATCACAAAGGTTGTAAAACAAAAACAGAAGTTTAACAGTTTCACCTGATTCTTTAAGTAAGACTTCATTTACTAAAGCAAAAACACATTTGGTTACCCAAATGGCCCCCCCCCACAAAGAAAAAAAAACAGCAGAAAAAGATATAAACATCTGTGGAATCAGATAAGACAGACACCCTGCCAAACCAATATGCCTTACGTGGATAGGAAACCCCATAAGAGCTGGAAAAAACCCTCCTTAACAGAATAATTAATACATTAATAATGAGCTCATTTGTCTTGTTTTTCTGCCAGTGGTGCAGCGACTGAAATGTAACAAGTGGAAGAGAGCTGGAGAGATCCATATAACATATAAAAGATGACTTTCACTTTGGTTGTTAAACAGACAGAAGGGACTGAATGAATATGTCATAATTAGAGTAAACTGATGATAATGATATCTTTATCATACACATAAACTAAAGAGACAGAATCAGCCAGGCAGGTAAATTAAAACTGCAAAGATTCCAATTTCAGACATTTTTATTACAGTGAACCTCAAGTTATCAGCAGCTGCATATTAGCAGAGTAGCATGTAAATAAACCACATTTTTGGTTAGATAGTTTCTCTATCACACAGATGGAAAAAAATGGTTGCCTGTAGCATCCTACGAAAGAAAAAAAACGACTGTGCGGCATTATGCTGACCAATATCAAGGTTAATCACTGCACTAGGTCTTTACTGCTATTGAACTCCAGTGTGTTGTATTACTAATCAATGCAGCGGTGCGTATCACACAACTGTGGTGCAAGATGAACGCTAATTTAAATGTTTATATAGAATTAAAGTGGACTTTCTTTAGAACTTTTAACCTTATTTTGATTCAGTTATCCAGTGTGTGACCCTCTGGAAAACTGCTGATTTTTATTTTACACTGTGGCTGAACACAAACTCAGCTTTGGACTATAGTCAGAGGCATACATGGATCCAGACACTTTTTTCACTAATTGTTTTCTTATCCAAGGCTAAATCCGTGTGTGGAAGCTCCAGCAGTGTACAGTTGCTTATCACAGCCAACAACTTATACAGCTGTCTTTGATATCCTTGTAGCTAAATGCTTTACATGCGCAGTGCTGTGAATGTCATGGTCAAGACTGCAAAATAAAAAACGTTATACCAAAGATGTGAAACATGAGTAAAAATGGCCCTGAAATCTGTCATTTCTCCACTTTTTTCAATAAAATATCTTGCTATTTCCTTTATTTTGATGCCAGCTTTACAGCCTTACAAAATGGGCACAGAGCTAAAATAATACTATTAATATTACAATACTATTATTATTATTTTGCTCACAATAACTCTACATCGCAAGGTTTTGTGCTTTTCTCCACCCTCACGATTAAACTGTAATGTTCACTGAATGACAGCAGACCCCGAATGTGAACGTTTTCAGAGTACACTCATTTACATTTATTAAAGCAAGAAGATCAAATTAAGCTCAAACTGAGTTAACTGAATTAAAATGAGTTTAATGTCTCTGGTATAGATACTGGGATCTATAAACATGACCTGGTTCAACTGGCCACCCATACTGTAACACTGCCTCTACCATGTTTGACAGGTGATATGTTATGCTTCGGCTCATGAGCCGTTTCTGTCCTTCTCCATACTTTTCTCTTCCCAGTCATTCTGGTGCAATTTAACCTTGGTTTCATTTGTCGAGATACTTGTATTTTAATGTTTCTACAAAGTCTAATCTATTCTTCTTGTTCCTGGGTGTAACCAGTGGTCTGTGCTTTTTTGTAAATCCCATGTATCTCCATTCATCAAGGTGTCTCTTTACTGTAGACTGACAATGATACGCCTACCTCTCTCAGAGTGTTCTTATTCAGTTAGATGTTTAGTTGTCTTCTGGGGATTTTCAGGCAAGAATAATTTCTAAATTGCATTTACATGTGCTGTGTACTGTGCATTTACAGTACACAGCACATAGTGTGGCTCCTACAGTTGTAAACAGGTAATTTGCTGTGCCCAGTTAACAATGATGGAGGTGGTGTTTGTGTGAGAGAAGATGACATACCCTCTGGAGGGTCCAATGATTGTGGACCAGCGGGCAGGAAGCCGGTCATGGCCCACTCTATCATCTCTCTGGTCTGAAGATCCACCCCCTCCGCATCATCACTGCCATCACAGGAAGGAACTGGCCTCCCCGCCCGGACGCTGGCCACCTAAACATAACATACACAAGCAGTCGAACTTATGCATATACCAAAGTTTCCGTATCATTAACTGGAAATAGAAGTGATGGCAGTGATGGAAAACAGTTTTTCATGTGGCTCCTATGGCAAGTTAAAACACTAATGTGGTTGTAGCATACGAGACACAGTGGGTGCCACTGAAGCTTCTCTCTCTCACTTTTTCACCAAAAACAAACCCCACACAAAATTATAGATTGGACTGCTGTTACCCACATGTTACCACTTTTAAATTGTGGGCAGATCAAGATGAGAACACCACCTCCACAAATGCAAAATAGCCAACCAGGCTGAGCGCACAAGAGAGGAATGACTCTTAGACCAGCACATTCATATTTTTTGTCTTTTTTGGTATTTGATTTCATCCTGAGAGATTTATAGTTTCCAAGCCTATTAACATCAACATCAACCATCTACACACTCAGAGCAGAGGTTAAATAGTGGGTTTGTTACCCGCAGAGCCTCGAAGATGGCTTTCCGGTACATGGACTGTTTGTTGTAGGTTGGCTGGTGGAAGGCAGATGAGAAAGCGCTCAGGGGCATCAACTTCTCCACACAGACCTACACAGTGAAGGAGGAGAGCCACAAATCATCATCAGAAAAGAAGATACCTTGAAATCTCTATTCTTTTAGAGAAGATTTTAGACTTTTAGACATAAAAACTTGGTCTTAGCTTACTAAATTCTCAATGTTCAAAATTCACAAAAAAATAAATTATTATATTTTCCCAAATTTTATCAAATAATTGTGAATAAATTCATAAAGATTTCAGCCAAGGAACTGTAGCTTCAACGCAGTCTACCACAGACGATAGCTGAGAATCATATTTCAAAAGTTTTAATTGACTGACAATATCTCCATATATTATCATCTGTAATTTTATTTGTTTACATTTGCTGCACATCTCTTTCTCCCCCCTTCAGAGGCCGATAAGGTGAACCAGGACTTGAGGCTCATTGCAGTAACTTCAGGTTTAACCCTGGATTCTTCAGGAATTACTTTATTTCTGCTGTTTGCCTGGGCTTGTCTGGGCTTGTCTGCTTGGGCCCAGACCTCCCTCTCCCCAGCCACCTCCTCCAGCTTGTCTGGGGGAACACCAAGGCATTCCCAGGCCAGCCGAGAGATATAATCTCTCCAGTGTGTCCTGGGTCTGCCCCAGCCAGGAGGCGCCCAGGAGGCATCCTTGTCAGATGCCCGAACCACCTCAACTGGCTCCTTTCGATGTGAAGGAGCAGCGGCTCTACTCTGAGCCCTTCCCGAATGGCCAAACTTCTCACCTTATCTCTAAGGTAGAGGCCAGCCACCCTTTGGAGGAAGCCCATTTCTACTGCTTGTATCTGTGATCTCGTTCTTTGGGTCACTACCCACAGCTCGTGGCCATAGGTGAGGGTAGGGACGTAGATCGACCAGTAAATTGAGAGCTTCGCTTTTACACTCAGCTCTCTCTTCACCACGGCGGAACACCAGTCCGTCTGTCGATCTCCCGCTCCCAACTTCTCCCGTCACTCGCGAGCAAGACCCCGAGATACTTAAACTCCTCCACTTGGGGCAGGAACTCGTCCCCGAACCGGAGTGGGCACTCTACCCTTTTCCGGCTGAGGACCATGGCCTCAGATTTGGAGGTGCTAATTCTCATTCCCACCGTTTCACACTCAGCTGCGAACCGTTCCAAGGCGAGCTGGAGGCAATAACCCGATGAAGCCAACAGAACCACATCATCTGTGAAAAGCAGAGATGAGATCCTGAGACCTCCGAAGTGAAAGCCTTCCGCCACTTGGCTGCGCCTAGAAATCCTGTCCATAAAATTATGAACAGAACCTGTGACAAAGGGCAGCCCTGGAACGAGTCCGACTTATTGCCGGCTATGCAGACCAAGCTCTTGCAACGGTCGTATAAGGACTGAATGGCCCGTAGCAATGGGCCAGACACCCCATACTCCCGGAGCACCTCCCACAGGACACCCCAAGGGAAACAGTCGAATGCCTTCTCCAAGCCCAGAAAACACATGTAGACTGGTTGGGCAAACTCCCATGCACCTTCAAGTATCCTTGAGAGGATGAAGAGCTGATCCAGTTAATATATAGATATTTTCCTTAAAACTGTTACTCTTACATAATATTTGTAGGTAGACACACTTACTGGTTTCAATTATTATTATTTTTATTTGTAATTTAATTGCTCTCCGCTGGTTAGGACTACTTGTGTTGCAGCTGAAAGACTAACACTGTCCCACACAACAAAACCATGGCCTGCTTATATTTAACCAACAGTTTAATTTAATTGTAATTATAGTACATTTTCTCTTGAGTGCATTTTATTTTTAGCCACCACTACATCAGCATCAGCACTACATCATCAGATCTGTCTAGCCGTAGCACTAATGATACTCACCACAGAGAATTTGCCATCACCAAACCACATTACCCAGCGAGTGCCATCTGCAGCTCGACTCCGGCCGCTCATCCACCAGGAAACAATCCGGCCGGGCCACCAGGAGAAACCTCGCAGCTTTCCAAACACCAGAGTCCCGATGCCAAAGCCCCGACCATCCTGTTGGCACACACAGAGAAAACAACTGATTTCTAACTGATTAAATAGCTGCTAAACTGAATATTAGAGTCTGAAAAATAGATATAATGGAGGAAAATTGCACTTAATCGTGTTTCCTTTCTATGAGGCATCTTTAAGGGGCTCTTTTAGAGAGCATTTTGCTTTAGGGACTAAAAATGTAAACTTTCCTCCAGTTTTAAAAGAATGATGAGTTTCTTAGCAACAGACTCATCAAATTAAAGGCTTTTTAAAACCCTTTTAATATCAAACAGAATATAATTTTTTTTTT